GTGTGTGTGTGTGTGACCTGTATGTGAAGGTGCTTTAACGCGCATCATAAAAGAGAGAGTGTTACCTAATGCTTTGGCAGTGTGTGCCGCCTCCCTGTTGCACAATTTGTAAAGCATAAGATGGCCTGACTGTGTGTGTGTGTGTGTGTATGGCATGTCATCAGTAACTGTGTAACAGATATGGAGTATGTAAGAATTAAAGACTGGAAACTCTGAGACCAAACAACTGCTTCATGACAGAGGAGAGATGGAGCAGTGAGTGACAGACGATGACAAAACCACATGTGGGGGTCTGGAAACCCCCCCAGTACGCTCCCTCCACCATTACCTCCTGGTTAAAAAGTATGGTACCCTTTACCAAATAATACAATTCTAATTTAAACATGTTGCTGTTCACTTCTAATTTCATTTATTAAGTTCTCATTAAGATTTGGCTCAGGCTTCTTCTGTGCAATATCTTGTTCTACGTCATTTTTTGGCAAAGATGCCACCAATTAAACCATCATGAAGTCCAAAAGGTCAGAGAATCAGTTCATGAGTTTATAGATTGTCCCTGCAGTATTTTCAAACGCTAAGTGTGGAACAAATGTCTCTTGAGTTGGCCAAAGGGACTGTGGTGACTCATTTTTATTAATTTCTCATTAGTCATTAATCACATTCAGCTCTGTTGCACACTAGTAAAATTAATCTTCTCATTAAGACCTAGTGAAAATATTTTTAGAAGGGAACGGTCCTTATGTTAAAGTCAGAGGGAAGACTTGAGTTCTTGTGTTAATAAGGCCAACAGCACCCTCTGCTGCCACAACACTGATCCAGTTTTTCTTTTAGAAGTAGGCAACACTCAAATCATGTCACTTTTACCTCAAACAGAGCATGGATGTTGAGATAATCATGTGCCTGTGTTGTCATGAGTCGAATACAAATCTGATTGAAGTCTGTCCTCGCCAAATATTCAACAGAAATCATTTAGTTTCAATAAAGACCAAACAGTTCAGTGGTATAACTCATTTATTATTAAATAAAAACTGGACATGAACACGTGCAGACTAAAAACCAGTGTAACAAATTGACGACCCTAAAATTTTCTGAATCAAGTCTGCATCCCCTGCTGTAAAAAAAAAAAAAAAAAGGGAAAAAACATACGTCTATAACCGGTTTGCTTTTTTTTTTTTTTAACTGTACAAAACACAGCTTTAGCAACATACATCTGTCCAAAAAATAGAAAACAAAAACCACTCACCTGCCAGTCCCTTAATGTGCAAACATATTGATCTTTCCTGAATGATCGCTTTTATTTTACATTTATTCATTCAATCCTCCCACTGAGCAGTTTGCTTTTATAAATCAAAGCGTTCACATATTGTCAGCGGATATCAATCCATCTTTACACTGTAAATAAGTTTCTTTTTCTGAAAGTCCATAACTTTACATGTAAAACCAAGAACACAAGGGTAGGCTAAAGGGATGGTAGTGGTGTGTGGGTATCATGGGAAAAGAAAGAAAAACTTATAGGTGGAGGAGACAAAGACAGGTCTGGGACTGATGTCACACTGCACTGGTGCCTTCCCTCGACCACGAATCACGTCTGGCCAGGTGGGTAAAAAATGCCTAGTAAACCTACAAAC